ACACACACACGCGAATCTCTGAGGGTGTGCCACACCGGAATGAAAGTGGGACCAAATCAGTGAACCAAAAATGACAGTTTGTAAATCAATGAAAGGGCACTCTCGTCCACAGAGTGAAACAAAAATGAAAAAAAAAAAACAAAAAGGACCAAATCAACACATCAGTAGGATTATTTGGTATAATAGAATAAAAATGGGACTATTTGGTATAACAGTTTGTAAAGTAGGATTTATTGGTAAATATTCCTAATTTTAATTTAGACACTCAGTCGATAAATTCAAATTTAAATTTTCTTTATTCAAATATTCACACTTTGAAATATTATGTCCATAAAGATAAGCACTCACAAAATGATTGAAATACCCCTCCACCACTTCTGTCTCTGACACATTTTATTTATGATTCTCCCTCTCTCTCTCTCTCTCTCTCTCTCTCTCTCTCTTAATCAGAGATGGTGAGTGGGCGGCAAGGTTGGAGTGGATAGATTTGCAGTGCCATCTCCCTCTCTCTCTTTCTCTCTCTACCTCCGACCCTACCCCTGTCGTCCGCTCTACTCTCAATGAAGCCTCTTTCTTCATTTTTTAAGCCTTAGCTTCCATTTAAGGTGGCAGAGGCTCACCCACGCTAGGAAGGTCAGCTACCACTACAGGAAATGACACATTCAACGGTTAAAATATTAGTCGCCAAAGCTCTATATTTTGATCGCCGAAAGTCAATGGCGACTAAAAAATTTTGTCGCCCAGGTAGTCGGGAATAGCCCTTCGGCAATAGTATTGGCGACTAAATTATAATTTGGTCGCTAATTTAAAACTTTAGGCTACTAAATTGTTATTAGTCGCCAAAGGTCACCTTTTGGTGACTAACATATTAGTCGCCAAAAGTTCTCACACAAAAATGAATTCAACTATTAGAGACTAAAAAATTTAGTTGCCAATATAAATTTTTGCCGCAAATAATAGTACATTTAGTGACTAAACAATTTAGTCGGTAATATAATCATACATTTAGCGACCAAATACTTTAGTCATTGTTAGTTTTAACGACTACATATTTTAGTCGCCAAAAGACTAGATATTTTCATTTCATTCTTTTTTATAACCAAACATTGTAGTCGCCGAAGGATGCCGTATTTTTTTGTTGCTAAAATATTTAGTCGGCAATAGTTTCTTCTCTCATTCTGATTTTTTTCCGCTACTAACTGTTTGGTTGCCAAAAGCCATTTTTTCTTTTTCACTACTAAATATTTAGTTAGCAAAACCTTTGCTTGCATTTTTGGCTACCAACAAATTTAGTTGCCAAAACTATATAATTTTTTTTAAAAAAATTAATTTCTCAACCACCTGTATTTATTCCATTATTAGTGTAACAAGTACCCTGTATGAACAAAAGAATCTATGAATACTTATTATATTGTCAACCATTCGACAATATGCACACATTTCACTTCTAACCATCTAAAAAATTTATATTGAACTTCAAATTCTAAATGCAATAGAAATTTCATATAAATCAAGTATAATCCAATGTCAAAAATATAATTTCATACATAGTAGAGGATTAACCAAATTTAATATCCAAAAGATAATCTGTACCACACCAAAAATTTAATTTGTACCGCCCCAAAATCTAATTTGTACCATGTCCAATGGTAATCTGTACCACGCCAAATTTTAAATATGTACTACGCTAAAAACGTAATTTTTACGAACATTTATAAGAACGGAAACCATGTCTTCCGTACTTGTTAAAAAAGTCGTATCTACAATTCCACGTCAAAAACTATTTGTAAAAATAAAATTAATCATAAGTATTGACTAAATATTGGCATATTTAAAATTATAAAAAAAAAACTCGAACTTAATTAATCTCTTCAAAGTAATCATTAGTTTTGCATACACAAATATATATCAAAGAAAAATATGTAAAACTCAAACGCATGTATTAGGCAACCAGTAATATTTTACAAGTAATCATTGTACATAATTAATACGCATTTTTCCATATTTGGGCGCTGAACGCCGTTTTCGACTACGTTTATGGCATTTTAGACTCTAATTCCCAACCTACGTATCCTATTTACGTACTGTCTGTCCCTATAAATCACATTTGGCACTGAGAAGCTTCCCGTTGCATCACAACAGTAGTTGGGGGGCTGTTTTGCATTTTTGCCCCTCGAACGCCTGTTTTCGACTAAGTTTATGACATTTTTTTACTCTAACTCTCAACCTATGTGTTCTATTAACGTACCGTCTGTCCCTGCATTTGGCACCGAGAAGCTTCCTGTTACATCATAACAGTGGTTGGGGGTTGTTTTGCATTTTCGCCCCTCGAACTCATTTTTTCGACTAAGTTTATGGTATTTTCAACTCTAATTCCCAACCTACGTGTCTTATTTACATACCGTCTGTCCTTACAGGTCACACTTGGCACCGGGAAGCTTCCCGTTACATCACAATAGTGGTTGGGGGGTTGTTTTGCATTTTCACCCCTTGAATACCTTTTTTTGACTAAGTTTAAGACATTTTCGACTCTAACTCTCAACCTACGTGTCCTATTTACGCATCGTCTGCCCTATTCATTGTTAAAGCTGGCATATTTTAACAAAGTATATATGACATCAATAAAATTGTTCTTACCACACAATGAATGTGGGATGACCAGCTTAGACCCCCAAGAGCTATGTCAGTTTGGTGGCTATGGTATTCAGATGCTCAATTGTCGCGGCCCAAACCCGCCCCTATGGGTTTAGCATCACAATCGCCCAGTAATCTGTGATTACCGAAGGCCTGCTTAACAATAATGATAGTAATACAGAGTAAATGGGCTGGCGGAAGCCAATACAGTAATTAAAAGGTGTCCAATGAGCTGTGACAGTCTGAATGTGAAAAGACTTTTATAAACAAACCACATTCATAAACAAAACATATATACAATCAGATGCACAAAAACCTTCAGATTAGGGACCTAATCCCTTCACCATAACTGTACGGTCAGGTCTAAACATTTATTACAAAACAGAGACGGAAGGGTGAAACTGAGACACCCCAAAACAGCCTTAGCTTGGACAGACTTGGAACCTCGCAGTGAAGCACAATGGTTGGCTTGACAAAACTGGAGCTTAACCTGACGCTCCTAGCATCGGTCCGGTGCCTGAACACCTACATATAAATATAAACAATGAGCTAAAACCCAATGAAATGCGTAAAGAGGTTAAGAATGAATGTCCTTTCGGTAATAAATCAGTCATATCAGTTGGTACATCCAATAACAAATAGTACAGTAGGTCTTAACAGACCAAGCAGTCAGTTAATGGCCATCATAACAGTATACAGTATTGGTTCCAAGTATTGGAACCGACAGAGATCTCTGTGACAGTAGCAGTAACAGTACAGTAACGGTAAGTTGATATGGATGCCATGAGTACAGTTCATAAATAGGACATCATTCATTCAGTAAACAGTATCACTTCAGAAAATAGTACAGTTAATTGTTCAGAAAATAATCATCATTGAACATATGTTTACAACATTGTTACTCACAGAGCACTGGGCTATAAGCAGCTAATGAGCGTCCTCGGATGCCAACCCTACACAGTTACAGAACGAACACACACTAAGTTACACACTTGGGAATCAACAAATTAGTCCCTATCTTGACTCGATGTGGTTTTATATCAATATCCTCATTAAGATGCCTTAAACTAGGCCTAGGAATACCTAGGATGGAATAAGGATGCAAAGATGCATTTTAAAACACTTTTCAGAATTTTTCAGAAAACAGGGGTCTCGCTCGAGCGTGGCTTTCTATGCTCGAGCGAGCTTTCCAAAACAGAGGGATCGCTCGAGCGTAGACTTCCTCGCTTGAGCGGTCTGTAAAAATACAAAAAGTGCTAGATGTTGAAAATCTCCGCTCAACGCTCGCTCGAGCTTGAGACACATCCTTCGCTCGAGTGTAGGTCTCGTCGCTCGAGCGTTCGTCTGCGTGCGCCGAAAATCTGAGAGCTTGCAATCTACGCTCGAGCAAGCATTCATTCGGTTGAGCAAAGCTCTGAACAAAATACAGTCGCTCAACCGTGGAATCCTTCGCTCGAGCGTGGAAGCCAAAATCTGAAATTTCCAGATTTGCCTCCCAAGCTCAAACCAAGCATTCAACACCTCAAAACTTAACTTTTTGGGCCAATTGTTTGGAAAACACTTAGAAAGCAACAATATAACATGTTTTGAAGATCAATTTGTAAAATCAAAGCCCAAGGGTGAGTCAATTGAACACCAATTTCAAATAAACTTCAAGAACAAGATGTACATTTAACATGCATGTATTCAATTGAATTCAAAGCTTCTAACAGATGATCAAATGAGTCAATCCTTCCAAAAACATGATGAATTCATGAACTACAACTAGAAAATGGGCATGCATGTGGAAATTCATGAAGAACAACCTCAAATTTCAAGAATATGTACATGCATGCATGGATTAATTCTCAATTCAACACTTTAAACCATAATTTGACTCTAACCACCAATAATCCCATGAACCATGCAATAACAACTCAAATGTACAAATGAGAGGATGAAATCTCTACCTTAGGTCTTGAATTCCAAGTATAGAAGCACAATTATGCAATCTCTCTTCAATTCCTCTAGATTCAAGCAAGATTTCAAGATGAATTCCAAACTTCACCTAACTCTCTCTCTCTCTCTCTCTCCCACGGTTTGGGTCTAAGAAAATGGCTGAATAAAATGATGTATAAAGGTGCTAAACAATGTTGTAGAAAATGGCCACTCAATGGCAATATTGTAATAAATTTAAACTAATGTAATTTAGCTTTATTTAGTCTAATTTAATCATACCAAATCATATTTCAATTAAATCTACCATAAAATCACATAAATTCTAATTAGCATGAAACACTAATCAATTTTCGATTCGGTCGCCGATAAGACCTTCAATTCGCAGTTTGAAGTTAAAAACATGAACAGATCATTCTACGACAAACAGGTAGAAATGCAATTAAGATAATACACTTATGCAATCAATTCTGAATTTCAGCCCGATCAATTACTTATCATGCTTAATCATAGATTAGCACTAATCAGAGGTGAGGGTTGTCATATCGATCTTTGTATTTGTCTCATCCTGAGCTTTCTACCCCTACTCACGCTCTTTCAACATCTCATTATAGCATCTCTCACACTCCTCTCACTCTTTCAACATCTCATTGTAATATTTCTCGCTCTTTCATCAACTCGTCATGATCTCTTTGTTGGTCCTCACAAAGTGCCTCCATCTCAGCTCTCATTGTCTCCATGTCCTTATCACGCGCTCATGGTACAGCCATGGTAGAGGGTTGTGGGTTGATCCCAAATCCAAGCAAGTACTTTTTTTTCTCTCCAAGCACTTGTCTTGAAAGCTCCTCCTATGTCAATAGCATCCCCGACTCGGTGGCAACCGCTTATAGATTGACCATCTCTTGCTGTTATTGCAAATAAAGAAGACAAAAAAGCTTAATAACATATATATTTTTGGGTACTACATAATATTGAATACAATTATTTCATTGTTACATAATTACATGCAGCTCACCGTATTTCGGATGGATCTAGTCATTCGTCTTCTTGGATGTGTGGTTGTCTTCATAAAACTTAGGAAAATCCAAGTCTCCATTTTCAGCTACCTTTTAGATTGAAATAAGAACCAAAAAATAATCACAACATATTATTCATAACAAATAATAATAATAATAATGGATTTACTTTTAAATAAAATCATTCTCACCATAGCAACCATTGCGATAAGAAATGAGAGAGATCTACTGGTATGATTGTATGGAAACTAACTCTTGTTACTCTTACCAACTTCTGACTGTTTCTAAAAATAATAATTACATAAACAAATTTTTGTTAAATATTAAGGCATATCACATTTGACATGGGGCTATATACAATGTATTATTATTTTACCTGGTGAGATGCATTTTGTCACGCCACATCAATCAAATGCTTCCAATCATCTAAACTCACCCCTCAGGGCGGATGAGCATAGAAGTCATTAACACCCTCTTCCTCTAATAGTTCTAATTCTTGCTTCAAGGTGTACCTCCGATCTTTGTACAACACATATGCCTTCTTATTCACAATCCGCTGAGCTTGTGAATCATTGTGAAAATCGTCTCCAATATCAAACTGGTTCTACAAGCATAACAAGTTAAAATTAAAGTCATTAAATATAAGTGCTTCTCACAAGTATACATAATACAAATATAGATTGTGGACTAGTATTATCAATTACAAGAACAACATGGATGACGATAGCTTTAGTAGTCTCATCCATATTCAACCATGACTTAACATCCTTGAGAGGCCACAAACTCCTTATCTGAAACCCTAACTCATTAGTTGCTGGAGTGGCATACTTTCTAGTCATTGCATTTAGAGCATGATCAATGTGAACATGTAATTTTTTCCTTTCTTTGAACCATTTAGGGAATTCTTTGTGTTGTCTCTTTGCGATGTCGAATGCATTGATTGTTTGTTGTAACAAGTTCTTGTGCTCCCTAGTTAAAAAAAATGCGATTCAAAAGTATTTCAAAAAATCAATACTAATCGATTTACAACTATAACATATAAATACATATGATGGATTCATACTTTATGTATGTTTCCACTTTTGTGCTATTGTGTAAGACAAACTAATGAGCCATCTCGTATTAAAATACAGACATATCAGATGCCCTTGTCATTAGACCAAAGGACAGACATTTTGAGTGAATATAGCCAATCCTGGGCCACGGTCACCCATGTCATAATTCCTTTATAGGCGGTTAAACAATGTTTCAACTCCATCTAAATATATTGAACAAAATGTTGTACACTCTTTGGAAACGCAATAGAACCTTCAGGATAAGCTTTATTGGCCACAAACCCTTTTAGACGTCCAAGCAACCTAAAGATGAAGACGATGACAATGTTATACTCCAATCATTATATTAGGACTAAAGCATTAATTACAATTTTACATTATACAAGTACGAACCAAAAACATTGTCTATTTTGATAACATGGTAAATTATTAACCAACATCTCATTTAAGATATTAAATTATTGAAGAAAATAACTTGTTTGTTATTTATATGTTCAGGAAAAACTAAGTTTGAGGTTAATCAAAAAAAAATATATTGTAAGCAAGGGTAAGATTATGTGAACTTCATGGACACTAATGCATGAAGTGTGTAAGTGCACTTTTGAAGATTAGTTCTTATAGGAACACTAAAATCAATCATAGATTTATTACCCAAAAGACTCATATATGTATATATTGTCCTATTTTATAATTTATTTTTATGTGTTCTTCACTAGTTCATTCAAATTGTAAGATAAGATAGTAAAAATAAATTATCATTGTACCATTATTATTCTTTCATCACATTTTATCTACCATTGCATCAAATGTGAAAGAAAAATTCCATTAAATTACAAATGTGCTTGTAGCAAAACAAACATAGAACTAAACCAGGCCATCGAAAGGCAAGGAAAACAAAAGAGCAAATGTTGGTAATTAACCAACAACCAAACAATACCTAATACAATAATAGACTCTTAATAATAGACTCTCTGTTTTAAGTTATATATATGTATGTATGTATAATATCTATAGAATCATATCAAACTATACAATCACTTATTTAAGAAAATCCATTATCAAATACTGGCAACCAATGACCATTATATCAATACAAGAAGGCCATAATGAGAAATAAATAAATGACTAAAGAAAAGCCATTAATAAGGAACAGATAATTAGGGATTGCTTGAAAATGCACTGAATAAGTGTATTTATTTATTATAAGTTGTCACATCACTTCTTTACTTTTCTTCACATCTTTTCGTAAAAAGTCAAAAAATCACTAAATAAGTAAACTCAATCCTTGTCTTTAACAATGATTGATCTCTTGACCTCTTAATAAAGAGTGTACATGAGCGACCAATTGAGTTATAGCCCAATTAATTTATTATATTAAGTTTCTTTCCTACTTGTAACTTACACCCATGAGGTAAAAATTTTAAATTTTTTTTTAAAAAAATCACTGAGTGTGATTTAGGGCAAGAAAGATTCAAGCAATAATTCGATTAATTAGTGAATAGATTTTCTCACTCTAAAAGAGACTCAAAAATGGAAAAAAGACTTTGGCATGTACCATTTTAGTTCCAACTTGTGATTTTTTTTTAAACGTCTCTGTTTATCTTTTTGAGCATTTTTTTTTTTTGATCGGCAAAAAAAAAAAAAATCTTTATTAATGAATCAAAAGTAGCAATAATAGCAACAATACATTAATAAAAAGAAAGGTAAGTACAAAGAGTATTATAGCAAAACATACGCATCCCAACTATGTTGGCATTGATATGAACACCCAATCATATGCTAGCACAACGTCAAGTTTGGTGTGTAACTGAACAAAAGACAAGAAGTAAGAAGTAAGAACTAATACAAAACCAAACTTAGCTACACCCAAAAGAGCATTGCCATCACAAGGAAAATTCACCAAAGATCAGTCCAGCAAGCAAAGCTAGAAAGCAATTCAACAAATGAAACAGAGAAAACAATAGCAGTGCATTAGGCATTACAAACAGCCACAACAGAGTGGTAAATATTATTGTGGTTGAATTAAATTCTAAATCTCTAACATTTCACATCCTGTAAAGTGGTAAAATAAATATTTTATTGATTTAAATCTATTTTTGACTTTTAAAAAACTATTTTCGCACAAAAAAAAAAAAATCGATTTGAGAACCAATGGTTAGTTTCAAACTTTCAATTTTTTATTTACTTTTTATAATTTTTTATTTTTATGAAATGAAAAACAAAAATGATAAATGAATACAAAGAAACAAGAACACAACCAAACAGGGTTTTATTCTCTAAATATCTTCCATTTTGTGCATATTGGACCCAAACTAAGAACATGATATCAATTGTAGAAATAAAATCCATGCCACACATCCAATCCAATATCAATAAAAATTGCAGAAGTAATAAATAAAACAGATACATCAGCATCTTGAAACATGGATATATAAATTAATTCCCCCCCCCCTCCCCGGCGCGTCCAGGGTTTTGTAATATTTAATTATTTATTCGGACTGTATTATTTATCCGCCCCCCCCCCCCCCCGAGCGCGTCCACGCAATTACTGTAGGTAAATCCACAAGTATAGGCAAGTAAAGTTGAATTGAGAAAGAACATGAAATCATTGAGTAGAGAGTGACAATTACCAAAATGCAAATCATTCATCATTTTTGAATCACATCCCCAATATATAAACATGTTATAACAATCAAAAACACATCCCCAAAAAATATATATATATATATATATATATAACATTTCACATCCCTAATAAATAAATTGGTTACAACAATCAAAAACACATCCCTAATAAATTTTTGATTAATCTAAATCTCTGACATTTCACATCCCCAAAGTATATATATATATATAATATACACTAACAAAAATAGGTTATAACAATCAACAAGGTTCAACATTTTCCACCGGCACCAAGATTTATGACATAAAGAAATGATAGGGGCTAGAGAAGGGGGATGTGAGAGAAGATTGAGTTTCTGTACCCTGAAGAATGCCCAATCAACGGGAGACAGAGAAACAGAGATAGACAGAGACAGAAAGAGAGAGAGAAATGAAGAGACATACTTGGGGCAATGGATTGACAGTGTTGAGACGGTGGTGCTCCTGTGTGCCGACGACAATGCTTCTTACCCGACAGCAATGGAGACAAACAGACAGAGATTGAATATAAGAAAGAGGGTAGAGTTAGAGGAGTGAGAGAGAGAGAGAGTAACAGAATGAGAGAGACAGAGGCGTAAGAGAGTTAGTTTTTACGAGTATCCTAAAACTGACACGATTTTTAAACCCTAGTTTAATTATTTTTTCCCGACGAAGTAATCTTTCGTCGCCAATAAGGCATTGTTTCCCGACTCCCATACATTTTTGTCGCTAGTTAATTTATCAATCCCTCCAAAAATTGAACTCTTCCCTCCAAAACTTTTAAGTTATAATTGGCTACTAAAATTTTAGTCGCTAAAAGTGAAATAAATACCGACTAAATTGTTTTCAGTAGCTAAAGATTGTCCATTTAGGGACCAAATTAATTTTTAGTTGCCTAACATCCTATTTTCAACGACTAAACCCAATTAGTCGCCAAAAGTGAAATAAAAGATTGTACAATCAGGGACCAAATTATGTTTTTGTCGCCTAAAATCCTATTTTCAATGACTAAACACAATTAGTCGCCAAAAGTGAAATAAAAGATTCTACAATCAAGGACCAAATTATTTTTTTAGTCGCCAAAAATCCAATTTTTAACCACCAAAACGTAATTAGTTGCCAAAAGTACAATAAATGCCAACTAAATTATTTTTAGTAGTTAAATATTGTACCTTTGCCGACCAGATATTTTTTAGTAGCTAATGTGTATGCCTTTGCCGACCAAACAATATATAAAAATGTTATATCAATCAAAAACACATCCCCAAAAAATATATATATATATATATATAACATTTCACATCCCTAATAAATAAATTGGTTACAACAATCAAAAACACATCCCTAATAAATTTTTGATTAATCTAAATCTCTGACATTTCACATCCCCAAAGTATATATATATATATATATAATATACACTAACAAAAATAGGTTATAACAATCAACAAGGTTCAACATTTTCCACCAGCACCAAGATTTATGACATAAAGAAATGATAGGGGTTAGAGAAGGGGGATGAGAGAGAATGATTGAGTTTCTGTACCCTGAAGAATGCCCAATCAACGGGAGACAGAGAAACAGAGATAGACAGAGACAGAAAGAGAGAGAGAAATGAAGAGACATACTTGGGGCAATGGATTGACAGTGTTGAGACGGTGGTGCTCCTGTGTGTCGACGACAATGCTTCTTACCCGACAGCAATGGAGACAAACAGACAGAGATTGAATATAAGGAAGAGAGTAGAGTTAGAGGAGTGAGAGAGAGAGAGTAACAGAATGAGAGAGACAGAGGCATAAGAGAGTTAGTTTTTATGAGTATCCTAAAACTGACACCATTTTTAAACCCTAGTTTAATTATTTTTTTCGACGAAGTAATCTTTCGTCGCCAATAAGGCATTGTTTCCCGACTCCCATACATTTTTGTTGCTAGTTAATTTATCAATCCCTCCAAAAATTGAACTCTTCCCTCCAAAACTTTTAAGTTATAATTGGCTACTAAAATTTTAGTCGCTAAAAGTGAAATAAATACCGACTAAATTATTTTCAGTAGCTAAAGATTGTCCATTTAGGGACCAAATTATTTTTTAGTTGCCCAAAACCCAATTTTCAACGACTAAACATAATTAGTCTCCAAAGGTAAAGTAAATACCAATAAAATTATTTTTTAATAGCTAAAGATTGAACAATTAGGGACCAAATTATTTTTTTGGTCACCCAAAATCCTGTTTTTAATTACTAAAACATAATTAGTCGCCAAAAGTACAATAAATAGCAACTATATTATTTTTTGTAGTTAAAGATTGCACCTTTGCTAACCAAATATTTTTTAGTAGATAAAGTTTATACTTTTGGCGACCAAATTTTTTTTAGTAGCTAATGCGTGTACATTTGGAGACTAAATTTTTTTTAGTTGCCATTTTTAGTTGCCAAAAGTGTATTTTCCTGAAGTTGTACCTCAGCGATAGTGAAGTTGGGGATCCTCCACGATTGTGGAGCAGCCCCGATCAGTTGTCCCTGCCATCCTCTTTGACGATTTTGCAACCCCTTTTGCTTTCTGAATTGGCCATGCTTCTCTGCCACTCTACTGTTGAGTCTCATCATTCGAATTCGAGTCCCGTGAATGTTCCACTTCTGTCGCCCAAAGAATCGCATTGTAGATGTGGATTTTAATGATACGCACAGATCTATAAAATGCATATATTTATCCATATCTTTCTCTTTCTCTCCTCTCTGTTCTCTTTCTCTATATGTATATATATCACTCGTCAGATCTCTGAAGTTTTTTTTTTTTTTTTTTTTTTTACAATCAAAACCAATGAGATATAGGTAGCTAAAATTTTGTTTCAATAATGAAGCTAGGGCCGGCCCTAGTCAACTGGTGAGATGTGAGGTCATTTATATATAATCACACAAAAAGGGAAAAAATTGTAAGGAGTAGTGTTATATAAATAAAAAATAAATTATACAGAATTTTGATCTAAGACGATGTGGCAACCTTATTTTCTCTCTCTCTCTCTCTCTCTCTCTCTCTCCGGATCTATTTGCTTTTTTTTCTTTTTTGGTTCTAGTTGTAATTGTTCATATTTTTTTAGCCATTGTTGAGAACAAATAGCGATGATTTTAGTTAAACACTATTTAAAATATTAAACGGATAACCATTGTTGAGAATTTGAACAGATAAAATTGTATGACTGCTCTCTCTTTCTATCTATTGATCTTTATATGCATGGGAATAAATTGAACAGATAAATGAAAAAATGAAATAAATAGTCAAAAACTTGAACAGATAGGGGAAAATTTGAACAGATAGTAAAAAATTTGAACAGATAGCCAAAAATTTTAATATATAAATATAAATTTGAAAAAATGATGAAAAAAATAAACAGATAAAATTAAAAATAAAATGTCATTCAAAACAAATAAAAAGACTTCTCACCAAATTATTCCATAAAATGTAAATCTCTCACCAATAAAAAATATCTACTAAATCTAATACCTTATATCCTCCTTAACTTGAACTTTTTAACAATTATCTCTTATTTTATTGAGTTGAAGATTTGTTTTGACAATGAAGTTGAGCATCATAAGCTCATGGCAGAGCTCTTTACAATCATCAAATTCATTCATTTTTAATTTAAGTATGTAGATAATTTATTGCAAAAATTATATTTATCTAATAATATTATTTGCATGTTTATCATAATTGTTTTTGACGGTATGCTATTAACAATATATTGGGACACATTTTCATAAATCTCTTTTTACTTACTTATATTTCATTTAATCCACATTATTTTCTTATATTCCAATAAATCTTATGGGTGACATATTTACCAAAATACCCCTAATAATATTCACATTTACAGTGTGAATGCACTACACCATTTTCTTAATTTAGTGACATTTGAAAGTGCCACAAAACTATTGTTTAATGACATTTTTTAGTCTTGTAGCATTTTGAACAAGTGTCATTTGTATCCGTGCCACGGTAGATACTAGTGCCACGATAGATACTTGCAAGTGCCACTACACTATCATAGCTAAAAACTTTCAATGACATTTTGATATCATGGTAGATATTATTTGTGGCACTATCAAACGCTATTAAAAAAAGAGTTAGTGACACTTATAAGTGTCATTACACCATCAAGACTAAAACCTTTCAGTGACACTTTAATGTCATGGTAGGCACTATTCGCGACGCTATCAAGTGCCATTCGTGACGATAATTCGTTGTAGAACAATTTGATCCGCTCTTGCGGAGACTCGAACCGCCAACCTCCCACACCATAAACCTTATGCACCACACTCTTCCCACTACACCTCTATAGCACCACATGATTATACATGTAACATATATTATTTATATAGTACATACATCCATATTAATATAAAAGTATATGTATAAACATAATTATTTTATTGAACATAATTTATGTAAAATAAACTATTTACTAGCAAAATAAAAAAAAAAGACCACTTTTGGCGACTAAAAATATTTTTTAGTCACCAATTCTATACTTTTAGCTACTAATTATTTTTTAGTTGCTAAAAAACTTAACTTTTGCCAACCAAAATCGGATTTGGCCGCCGAAGAGGCACTTTCAGCTACCAAAATTTTGGTCGCCAAAAAATTTAATTCTCACCTTAGGATTTTAGTTCTCTCGCGCTAAAAATGACCACTTTTGGCAACTAAACTTATTTTTTAGTCACTAATTGTAGACTTTTGGCTACTAAAATTTTTTTAGTCACCAAAAAGCTTTACTTTTGGCAACTAAAATTTTTTTGTCGGTAAAACCTATATAATCAGCTACCAAACTTAGTTTTAGTCACCAATTGTAGACTTTCGGCTACAAAAATTGTTTAGTCGCCAGAAAGCTTTACTTTTGGCTACTAATGTTGTTTTGGTTGCTGAAAGCTATACTTTCAGTAACCAAATCTTTTTGGTTAGGAAATTTAGTCGCCGAATGTGCTTTTTCCTGTAGTGTATATTGAGTTTAATTTATTTATTTTTAATCATTTATTGCATTTCAAAAATTTAGAAAATATATTGGTTCGTGATGTGAATGTTCACACTGTTAATGTGAACATTTGCACGTCAATGTGAATATTCACATTGTAAAATATGAATGTTCACATCACCAAATTGCTAACCGTTCAAAAAAAATTTGTAAGGGTAAAAATGTCCATAAAATACCTTAAATATGAGAATTAGGATTTAATAGATGAAATATTCAAACAATAGGACTTATTGGAATACAAGAATATATTATGAATTAATTGGAATACAAACACTTGAAAAATGATTTTCTAATAAATCTCTCCAATATATTTGTTATTTATTTATGGGTAAATTACGCTGACATCCCCTGAGGGTTATATTTATTACAGTTCCCCCCTCACCTTTTGGAAATTATATCTCCTCATGAGGTTTAAAGTTTCATTACAGATTTTTCCCTCAGCAATTTAGTTTTTTTAAGCACCAATTTTGCCCTTATTGGGTAAATCACATTGACACCCCTCACATTTGAGAAATTACAATCCCCTCCAAAAGGTTTAAAGTAGAATTACCAATTGTTCCCTTGGTTAGTATTAGTTGGAAAAAAAAAATTCATTGAAAAAAAAAATTAATTGGAAAAAAAATTATTTGAAGAAAAAAATAATTGAAAAGAATTTTTGTTAGTAAAATCTTTTAATTTTTGTTTAAAAACAAACGTAAACTCATTTTTTGAATTTACATTTTTTTCTCAAATTTACAAACTGAGACAACTCTTTATAAACCAAAAAAATTATCAAACAAGTTTTTATGATAGTTTTTTTAATTTTTATAAATATAAATTGAAAACTGAAAACGAAATGGTTACCAAACAGGCCTTAGATGGTAAAAATGTCATAAAATTAACAAATAATTAAATAAGTTACCAAAGTAAGAAATGACTTATTAAGATTCTTAGGTTATGTATGATTTGATTTTTAGAATTTTTTTTTAAAAATTTAAAATTAATTTAGTGAAGAAATAAAAAATAAAAAATAATTATCATTTAAGGGTAAAAAATAATTATCATTTTAACTTTTGGGCATGTTATATACATACGTATGCTGTTTCAATTTAATTTGTAAAAAAGTATTTCTAACCACTCGAAAGATAAAATTATATGAAAATGATAATTATTTTTTATTTTTTATTTCTTAACCAAATTAATTTTTAATTTTTTTAAAAAAAATTAAAAAAATCAAACCATACATAGCCTAAGAATCGTTTGATAAATCATTTCTTACATTGGTAACTTATTTAATTATTTGTTAATTTTATGATATTTTTACCATTTGAAGCTTGTTTGGTAACCATTTCATTTTCAGTTTTCAATTTATATTTTAAAAAATATAAAAAAACTGCCATAAAAACTTGTTTGATAATTTTTTTGGTTTGTAAATGGTTGTCTCAGTTTGTAAATTTGAGGAAAAAGCGTATATTCAAAAAATGAGCTTATGTTGGTTTTTAAACAAAAATTTAAAAATTTTACTAACAAATTTTTTTTTTCAATTAATTTTTTTTTTCAAATAAATTTTTTTCCAATTAATTTTTTTTTCAATGAATTTTTTTCCAACTAATACTAACCGAGGGGGCAATTGGTAATACTACTTTAAACCTTAGGGAGGGGATTGTAATTTCTAAAATGTGAGGGGTGTCAATGTAATTTATCCAATGAGGGCAAAATTGGTATTTAAAAAAATTAAATTCCCGAGGAGGAGAATCTGTAATGAAACTTTAAATCTCAGGGGGAAGATGTAAT